TTTTCCCTTAATTATACACTTTTTCATTGTATTTATCTTTTTATCCGGTTCATCGCCTACTGACACTCATTAACCGCTCCCTTGAGGTTAAACTCACAACACACCACTTAAGTGAATAAGTAAATGGTTAATTTGTCGCACCATAATTAGTGGTTAAATATGACACCTCTATCGTTTATGAGGGTCTGCGCGTCCGAAAGCGTTCTCATACCACTTGCATTAAATATTTTTTTCCAATTTAAGCCTTCATCAAGATCATAAACACCAATATCTTCACTTTAATACACTACAATAATGAGATAAAGTGCATTAAAGTGAATACTTCGACGCTCATGTCAAAAATGACGGTTTAAATTTACAAAATGTTTCATAAACGTATTGTCGGACAGTTTAACCTGATGATGATGAAGATGATGATTAAGATGACGATGATGATGATGATGATGATGATGAAGATGAAGATGAAGATGATGATGATGATGAAGATGAAGATGAAGATGAAGATGAAGATGAAGATGAAGATGATGAAGATGATGAGATGAAGATGAAGATGAAGATGAAGATGATGATGATGATGAAGATGATGAAGATGATGAAGATGAGATGAAGATGAAGATGAAGATGAATGAAGATGAAGATGATGATGATGATGATGATGATGATAAAATTGATGATGATTGACCTACCTTCAATCACATTTGCGCTACAGTAATCTTATTCTAATATATGAAGTAACAAAGAGATAAGGATTGTTCTTATATCATTATTATTATTCCTCAAATTGTTGATTATTATTTCGTTATTACTATTATCATTATTACTATCATTGTTATTATTACTATTATTACTATTGTTATTATTATTATCATTGTAATTATTATCATTATTATCATTATCATTACTATTGTCATTATAATAATAATAATAATAATAATAATTATTATTATTATTATTATTATCATTATCATTATTATCATTATCATTATTAATCATTTGCGTTATCATCGTCATTATCATCATTGTTGATAATATCATCATTAATATTATTATTGTCATTATCATTATCAATAATAATATTATTGTTTATTGTTAATTGTTTGCGTTATTACGATTATCATTATTATAATTTTAATTGGAATTATAGTTACTGTTGTTTTCATCCTTATCATTCTTATTTCTATTCTTATTGTTAAATTTTTACTATTGTCATGAACATTATCATTATCATCATTATCATTATCATCATCATTATTATCATTATTATATCATCATTATCATTATTCTAGTCATTATTATCATTATCATTATTATTATCATTATCATTATTTCTTATTACAATTGTCATCATCATTATTGCTATTGTTATTATCACGACCATTTTAATTACCATTATTATTACTGTTATTGTTATTATTATCATTATCGTTAGTTGCAATAGTAGTAGTATTGCTATTACTATCAATACCATCTTAATCGTCATTATTATTATCATTATCATTATCATTATTACTATTATCATAATCATCAGCATCATTATCATTGTTATCAAAATTATCATTATCATTGTTATCATTATTAGATGAGAATGGTGTAAATGATAGTGAAGATGATGATAACGGTTATGATCATGATGATGATGATGATGATGGTGAATGTGTTGATGATGTGAAATGTGTAAGGATGATAATGGTAGTGTAATGATGATAGTTATAATATAATGATGATGCTAGTTATGGTTAAGATAGTGATGATGATGATGGTGGTGGCGGTGGTGGTGATGATGATGGTGATGATGATAATGGTGGTGGTGATTGATGATGATAATGATGATAATGATGATGATGATAATGGTGGTGGTGATGAGAATGATAGGTGTTGGTGATGGCAATGACGATGATGGTGATGATATTGATGAAAATGATGGTGATAAAAAAATGAAAAAAATATGACCAAAAATCCAAACATTTTTTTCCTGCAGAACCCTCTATACATCAATATCATAAAAAAATGAAGATAAAAACACAGATCATCTCAGTGACTAGAAAAATATCAAATCTTGAAACAAAGGAACTGCCAGGCAAAAGCGAAATCAAATAACAAAGGAATCTTTTCTTTTCTCTCCTTTCTCTCTCTTCGCTTCTCTAATTATCACCCATTTTCTGTCTTTCCTCATCCTCTGAATACTGTCCTTATCCTCTCTCACTTTCTTTTATCATCATCCTTTTGTATTTACTCTCCGTCCTGCAATGCGCATCAGAGGATAAGTATCTTTAGAAAATATGAATGCAACAAGGGTTCAGCCAAGTGAAATATTATCGTTATCTGCTGGTAATTTTGAAATTGTGCAATAGAGAACCATTTAGCTAACGATGTGAGGATAATTCTATCTAAGAATCACTCTTTTTAAGGGGGGTATTACCAAGAAAGAAATATATTGGGGAGAATTGGCATAATTACAAGCGAATGAAAATGAAAGTTCATTTCATAGATGATTGAGTTGGTGCAAACGCTGACGCCATAGTGTGGTGATTCTGGGGATGTTGAAGATTATTATGTAATTATCACGATTTGATTAGCAAAATTATTACCAATGCGCACAAAATGCTAAGTATAAGAGAGTAAACAGCGTCTATGATGATCATAAAATGAACCGGATCCACAAAGAGAGACATGGGAGCTACCCAATCCAACCGTCTTCCCCGAACTTAAACATGATTTCAAAGATAACAGCCTCAAGGACCTTTAAGAGACCAAGAAAACCCTAAACTCCCCTGAAAATCCCCTGAAATAAGCCCCAGAACATCTTCGCTAGCATCCCGAATCGAGCGAGTGTAGCGGACCCTTTCCCCTCGCGGCGTTGGCAACACTGCCGGGCCGAGCGAAGCCTAGGAAGAAAATGGCCGAAGAGGCGTCGCGGAGGAGCTGATTGTCTAGTCTTTTAAGGCGAGTATTTGGTCGTTTTTTAACCCTTCCTTCCCTCCTGGCTAGGCCCTTTGCACGCGTCGGAATCTAATCCACGCGATTTTGGGGAGGTCACGTCGAATTGGGTCGGTTTTGGGGGAGAAACGAGGCGAAATATGGTGTTCTGGCCGTTGGTCCCCGGGAAGCGGCCTCGGCTGGGGGCTTCGGCGCTACTTCAATTTCCTTAGATTTTTCAAAGCCTTTTCTCCCCCCGAGCTTTCCCTTCGCCTCGGACAAGCTTCATGAAACCTAAGGAGAGGGAGACGAACCGAGAGCGAATACTTATGTGGAGAATTAGTCTAAAGAATCAATAAAAAATGCAGAAAGGGAAACCAATATTTTTTTATCGCTTTAATTTCCTTTTAGAGAAAGAATTTCCGATAGATTTTCGAAAAAATGATAGAACAGTTGATTGATTAGGTCATTGTTAAGTGACGTTACCCATTTTATGTTCTGTTCTCGTCATAATTAGTTGTAAGAA